AAGATTAATCATTCTATGTTGGAACTAGTTGTGATGGATATCACCGAAGTGATAAAGACCGTATGTAGTATCACCGAATATTGTGTTGGATGGAATCCGAAGCCTTGTATGGCAGGAGGTGTGAGGCTCATTTGTATTAATATGATTCAGGCGAGAGTGTTGTACTCGGACCTGAGGTTTGTGCAAAAGACGACTGAAGAGATTAGAGGACCCAAGAAAAGACGTGTTTTGAGAGTTACGATAGTAACTGGTGTAGTCGAGCTTGAAGTCTCGGGAGCACCCCGTGACTCGTTGTAACTGTATCAGAGTAGTGCAGCGGAAGCGTGGGGAATAACATGTTAGATTGTTTCACCGCTGTCACTAGGGGAAACTATATGATGTGTTCGCGTGTCTAAGCTGAGGAAGCGCATCAATCCGGATGGATGGTGTGTGAGTGAGAGAGAATTTGAATACTGGGGCAACTTCGAGGAAAGAGGGATTGTCTTGGTAAAGGTATTTGGGAAGAATCAACTAGATGGAATCGGATTGGGAAGATTGGGATGCGTGAGTCACATCCCGAGTTGTCTGAATTGGATAAAATTTTCGAGGACGAAAATTCCTAAAGTGGGGAGAGTTGTAACAGCCCAATTTCGGTTTAACTAATTAATTTAGTTATTGGAATTATTTTAATTATGGGATAGTGTAATAATATGTTAAGTCTACATATTATGCTATTTTATCATTTGTAGAGTTTTGGAAAGTTTAGTGGGAAATATTTCGGACAGTCTCAATTAATGGTTAAGTGGATGGTTTATGGAAATTGATTGGAATAATAGGTGTATTGGAGGAAATAGAATGGAAAGAAATATAAAGAATAGAAATAGAAAGAAAAGATATAAGGGAAAAAGAGGAAAGAAAAGAGAAGGGAGAAAAGAAAGGGAGAAGAAGGAAAAAGGAAGAGAAAAGAGAAGAAGAAGAGGAAAAGAGTGGAATCATCAAGAGCAACTAAAAGCTTCAATTAATCCAAGGTAAGGGTGTGAAATCTTACTATCTTAATCAATATGTTTGGTTATGTATGTGTATGGTTGATTGGTTAGAGTTTTGGAGAGTTTTCCATAAGCTTCCATTTTAGGTCGAAATTGATTCGATCGGTAGAAGCCGAGTTTTAATGATTGAAAATGAGAATAAGTGGTAGGATTTAGTCGAGGAATATTGGACCAAGGCTATTGGAAACAAGTTAGGATTTATCGGTGGATTTCATCGGGTGTTTGGATTCTGAACAGTGGGAGAAAGTTCAGTCTGCAGACGCTCGCTAGCAGCTCGCTAGGCGAGCAGGTCGCGAGTGTTCGCTAGCATCTCGCTAGGCGAGTGCATAGCGAATGGTCCCAGACTTGGGACAGTGGTGTTTTGGTCTCCTTCGCTGGCAGCGAATGGAGTAGCGAATGACTCGCTGGGGGTTCGCTGTGGCGAACGAGGTAGCGAACGAAGTCTGTAGCTTCTATTCTTGCTCGATAGCAGTTAGCTAGGCGAGAAGGTGGCGAACGTTCGCTAGCAGCTCGCTAGGCGAGCGTGTAGCGAATGTAGCAAGATGAATTTTTCCCTGTCGCGTGGTGCCGTCGTGGCTTGGGGTTTCGGTTGCGATCGACCCTTCTTTGATTTAATAGCTTATATACTGGTTGGTGATGTGTTGTGGGTAGCCGTAAGGCGTGAATCCTAGTGTATGAATGTGATTTTGAATCGAGGCCTTTGGGCAAACTATGCATTGTTTAGAATTGAATAAAAATGCATGGCAATTGTGATGAATGATGAATATAATACACATTGTGAGTGCATGATAATTGTACGTGTTGATGTGTGAAGAATGCATGATAATATATTTGCGAATATGTATGCATTTGTGATATTTGATCCCGTGTAGGATCTGCAGAACCTCGCTTGATGCGATGGTTATATTTGATCCCGTGTAGGATCTGCAGAACCTCGCTTGATGCGATGGTTATATTTGATCCCGTGTAGGATCTGCAGAACCTCGCTTGATGCGATGGTTATATTTGATCCCGTGTAGGATCTGCAGAACCTCGCTTGATGCGATGGTTATATTTGATCCCGTGTAGGATCTGCAGAACCTCGCTTGATGCGATGGTTATATTTGATCCCGTGTAGGATCTGCAGAACCTCGCTTGATGCGATGGTTATATTTGGTCCCGTGTAGGATCTGCAGAACCTCGCTTGATGCGACGGTTATATAGTGATTCCTAGGGAAATCTGATGAGTTATAGTGTAACCGTATAAGTGCGAGAGGAGTGAGTTCTAAGGGAATCTGACGGACGAATGAGTCGGTATCGTGGTTGTAGCTGCATAGGGTCGAGGTGTCGGTCTCTATGAGTGCATTATCATCTTCATATGATGAATTAAAAATAATGCATTGAGAATGTATTAGTGTATGTATATATATATATATATATATATATATATATATATATATATATATATATATATATATATATATATATATATATATATATATATATATATATATATATATATATATATATATATATATATATATATATATATATATATATATATATATATATATATATATATATATATATATATATATATATATATATATATTTATTGCGTCTGGTAAATATGAGAATGAGGTTGATGTATATGTAGAGAGATTCTACTCACTAGGGTAGAACGGCGATGCGTCGTTCCTAGTGAGGTAGTTACCGGTGTAGAATGGCCGAGACGTTGTTCCCGGTAGAGCATAAGCGACGTACCCATAGTCCGGAAAGAGGATTGAGGGTAGTGAATGAGTCTTATATAGATCGCATGGTATGATCGTGATTGTCATATGTAAATATGTCTACGTGCAGGAATTGATGAGATGCGTTAGCAAATAAATAAATGTGAAAGATATTGACCGATGAATAGACGGTTAAGTGTGAGCGGTTATGTCTATGTGTATTTGATGTGGTGAGAATCTATGGTTATGCATTGTAGTGGATAAGTATGAGGTATAGGCATTCGGTACTTGTACATTTATATATATATATATATATATATATATATATATATATATATATATATATATATATATATATATATATATATATATATATATATATATATATATATATATATATATATATATATATATATATATATATATATATATATATATATATATATATATGTATATATATATATATATGTATATATATATATATATATATACATATATATATATATAGATATATATATATATATATATATATATATATATATATATATATATGTATATATATATATATATATATATATATATATATATATATATATATATATATATATATATATATATATATATATATATATATATATATATATATATATATATATATATATATATATATATATATATATATATATATATATATATATATATATATGTATATATATATATATGTATATATATATATATATATATACATATATATATATAGATATATATATACATATATATATATATATATATATATATATATATATATGTATATATATATATATATATATATATATATATATATATATATATATATATATATATATATATATATATATATATATATATATATATATATATATATATATATATATATATATATATATATATATATATATATATATATATATATATATATATATATATATATATATATATATATATATATATATATATTTATATATATATATATCTTATGCCTTGATTATTATGATAATGTTTCTCACCCTTCTGTTGTTTTATAATGCCCTACGAGGCATTGCAGATTAGGATTCGCTGGAGGTTTCCTTTGGAGTATAGTTCCTTTCCCTCGTGTCTGTCGCTCTGATATGTAACTTTGGGTAGATAGGCTTGTAGAATGTCTTAATGATGTTTTGTTTGTATGTGAATGAAGTTGTGAACAACCAGATGACATGTAATTACGTTTTGTCATGTCTTAAGTGAATATATATATGTTTTAGTCTTCCGCTTTAAGAGAAAACATGAATATGTAATTTCGAAGGATCATGCGTTTATTTTTAGTTGAGATTTACCCCTTTTGAGTTAATTCTTTTTAAACATTAATATTCATGTGGTCGTTTCGTGAGTATTGTGACGCACTTCTTTTATACCTTAACATAAATACACTGATGAAAATAAAAACACTTGTATTCGTGACTATATGATTTGATATGTGATTATTTTGGGGTATAGAAAGGGGGCGTTACAGGTGACGTTTTGACGCTCTTGGTTGATAATGCTTCTGCTATAATTCTTGATAAGAACTCAATTACACATGGGAGAAGCAAGCACATCGAGATGGGATTTCATTACTTGGGGGAACTTGTTATTGAAGAAAAATTTGAGATTGAAATATTGTAAAAGTGAAGACCAAGAGTATGATTTTCTGACCAAGAGAATCACAATTAAAGTGTTTAAGAGATTGAAAAGGAACATGAACATGAAAGACTTGAAATACTTAAATTAAGGTGGTATATTAAGTGAAAATCCAATAATTAAGGTGGAGTACTTTGAGATATGTGGATTTTTTATTTTATCAAAAACATCATTCATTGTATTTGTTTGATGAGAAAGGAAAAAAGACACGTGACTTTAGATAAATTGTTGGATTAATCAAATGGTGGAAACTGGATGAAATGGATGAAACCTAACCTGATCCGATGAAATGAATGTCTTGACAAGCATGAAATGAATGTCTTGACTCAACACATTTAGTATAAATGCACATTTCTAATTACTCGTCTACTATTTCCCAAATATTCAAATGTCATTACAATGGATAAAATATATAGTTCAACATATCTCACATTTTAAAAGGAGATAGATAATAACAGCAACATAATATGTGAGAAAAATAAAAGCACCTAACACCAGTTTCAATCCAATATGGTACACAAACCATATCACTAACTCCTCCAATGTGTCACCCCTAATACAGCCACACGCTTTAAGCAGTATCATTATTAGCTGAGGTAGAGTTGTCAACTTCATCTTCTTTGTTTGAGACTTCTCTGTTAGCTTTTGCTGGATATTTGATAGCATTCATTTCAACTTTTCGCAAAGCGGCTTTGCCAAGATCAACGCCGCAAATGTCAGAGAGACGAACAAGGTAAAGCAACACATCAGAAAGCTCTTCTCCAAGATGAACTTTTTCTTCCTCTTTAAACTCTGGAATTCCCCTTTTAACCTCACCTTTCCACTGAAATATCTCGGACAATTCTCCCACTTCACCCACCTTCAAAAAATCACATCAAAAAAATGTATAAGATCAAGTGTTGTCAATCGTAGATTGCAGAAAATAGCATATTACTCCAATTTTATTACATAACAATGTTTCAACACGCTAATGCATTACTATATCACAATATTTTGTACTAATAACATATCGTGGAAGAATAGCGTTTTGCTCTAATTCTGCTATGAAATAACGGTATAGCGCTGCTATAACCACTATTTACCAACGCTATTAAGATCATACCTGAAAATCTTTTATGATATAAGAGCATGATTGTAACATTTAATACTATTTTGACCCAGTTATGAACTTTATAAGAGCAACGAGAGTAGTTGCATATGGTGTGTGGTAACTGGTGTAACAATAAAGTGGAATATGTTTGCATTGCAACAAGTTGAATTGGATCTGGATTATCAATGACAACCTGAAAATAAGGCATCAAAAAGTTTTAGCCTATGTTTGGTTCCATGGCAAAACTCTCCGTAAATTAGTTATATTTGGCCTCAGCCCTCAGCCTAGAATTAATTCCAGCACCAAACTCAATTCTAGCCAAAAGTTATTAAACAATAGAGACGATATTTGTTTACTCAGTTCAGCCAAATATGTTTACTCTGTGATTAAGGCCATATGTGGTTTCAGTGTTACAAGCAATATACCCTAAACTGTACCGCGGGGGACGACCCCAACCATCCTTAAATAATCGATTGTTATCTATGCAACACTGACACCAAAAACACTACATTGATAATAATTTTAAAAAATAAATAAATAAAACATAATAACTGCTGAAAGCTTCAGCTGAAGATGAGGTTTTCAGAGGCTGAAGCTTTCGTGCAGCTTCTAAAAGCTTCAGCCTCTGAGAGTTTCAGCTTCAACAATTAGAAATATCGGTATCGTTTTTGGATATCGACTCAGACACATTTTTTCAGAAGTGTTGATGGTATAAAGCTTGCTATGTTAGCTTGGCTTCCAAACCAAAGTATAGGTGTTTAGCCGTACTCAACATAAGCATTTAGGTATTTAGCTTTTGCCGTGACATACAATCAATTCTCACGTTTATAAAAAGCGGTAAAAGCATATATACACTCAAAAGCAATTAAAAAAACACAACTTGCAAAAGAATAACATTTACAAAATGCCAAACAGAGTGTAAGCAAATCTGTGATAGGTCACATAAATCTTCAAAACCCATCATAAAAAAAAAGCGATTAAACTAAAATAATCACAAAATGCTTCTTCTCCTAACACCCTCAAAAGAGAAAACTACAAAACAAATGCTTCTTCTCCTAACACCCTCAAAAGAGAAAACTACAAAACCCTCGTAAAAAAAAACCCAAAATCAAAGATCAAATTTTTATTACAAAAAACTACATATTCAACCAATGAAGTTCATGCAAAGGTGAAATAAGAATAAACATAATAAAAATTTATGTAAAATTTCAAAGAAATTACCATAGCCAAGAGAAGGTTTCTTGGGGTATGATATTGATCCCAATCCCTTTCTTTGGCGAAATCAGCCTGCAATTGCTTGAGTTTTCCAATGGTTACAGAGTCACCTTCGTGAACCTCACTCATGTTGAAGATCCAAAGAGAAATCAGAGAGAATCGAAAGGACAGAGACGAGACGGAAGAAAATACAAAAGGGAATAAGAGAAATGGTATAATATAATAATAATAACAATAACTTAGACCAAAATATATATATATATATAAATTATTAATAGTAACAGTAACTCCAATGGCAGTTCGGGATTGGTTTTTCCAAACTGGCAAACGTGTTTTTCATTTTGAAAACCAGTGGAGTTGCCGTTGCATTCTGAAGCAACGTTGTTCAACTTAACAAAAGGAATAATTTAATATTAAATCTAACAATTTTATGTTGTGTTTTTTTAAAATAATTTTTTTCTTTAACAATATATTTGTTTATAAATGATTTATATATATTAATTTTATTTCATATTAATAATTTTATAAATGATTTTATTTTTTTTTACAAAAGTTAATTTCACCTAAGAATTTAATAATGTTAATCTTAACTATCAGATTAATATTCATAATTATTATTATACTAATATAAAAATAAAAAAATTATAAATATTACTCATTCCATATTTTTTTTATAAACTATGTCAATGATTCAAACATGTCTACATTTGATATTTTTGTACAACTATCAATTGAATGGCTTATCGAGATTGTAGTGATGCAATGTTATTGACTAATTTCTTTTTAAATAATTATATTTCTTAAATTAAATACTCAAATAATCATCATTTCAAATTATTTATTAAAATACCCATGATTAAAAACAAATCACACTTGAGAGGATGTATCATTATTATAGGCGCATGCACTTAAAAATGACTTTATGTGCCACTACCAGTGGCTAGGGGTGGCAAACGGACATGTCAACCCTGTTTAGACTCGCCCAAAAAAAAAAAGGCAGGATAAGACAGACATAATTGAGGATGCGGGCCTAAGATCTAGGTCCACCACACAAAAAAGTATGGGTGGGACGGGGAAAACTCGCAGACACAACACTTTTTAAGCGTAAAAATACAAAAGTTAATGTAATTGTCCACATCCGCAAAAGCCCGTGAAAAAAATGGAGTGGGGCGGGACGGGCACATTAGAGGGTGATGGCCTAAATCCTTGGCTCGCCTCGCGCTAAAATGCAGACAAAATAGGCATGTTAAACGGGCCGACCCCGTTTTTCCACCCCTACCAGTGGCACATGTAATACATATGTGTCACGTGTGGTGCATGCATTGCTGCCCTAAGAGGATGTGATTCCCTCTAGTGCATGCATGCATTTTTTTTAAACTAAAGTTATAATTAACTAAAAATAAAACAATTGGAAAATAAAAAAAGAAAATACTAATATTATTAAATTTAAATAGAATTATAATGCGAAAAATTTTGTAAACTTATTTTAACGACGCCCTTGATCATAACGACCACTAGTTCCACAACCAGGCGGTGCCCTTCGCGTTGAGGCTGCACACGATTCCCTTGAAGTCATTGTTGTCTCTTAGAATTCATCTGAGGTGCTTGGTTCCCCCATGGATTCACATGAGGTGTTTGGAGCGAGGTCCTTGGAACATTAGTGTCATCGATCATATCTAGTATCTCTTGCCAGTCACATGCGCTACGTAATCAAGTTTGGTGCCCATGTTGTCGTAGTTGGGGCGTGTTGTGGGTTACATGTGATTGAACTGATTGGTTGAATTGGAACATTTATTTATTTTGAAAATGAATCAATGGTTGTTGTAGTGTTTGATATGCATTTGTTGGTTAGGTGTTTTGGCAGTGTGATGTTTATGTGCTTTGGTGGTGTAATGTTTAAGTGTACATTAGTTGAGTGGTATGGTAGGATTTCATGGTATCATAGCCTCATCGATGTTACAATAAATATAAGATCAAATTTCTTGAATTTCAAAGAGATAATAGAGACGAAGTTGCAATTTGGTCCAATGTCACAAATTATTTACAAAAATCTAGTTATTTTTTACAACAACCAAGTAAAAAAAAAATTAGCTAAAGGTGTGTTCTGCAAACCTATTATTCAAGTTGATAGAATATGGTTGTAAGAAAAATATAAAGAAATGTTACTCATGGAAGTGGTATAAGATGGCAACTATAATATTTTTCCAATTACATTCGCTCAAGTTGAAGGTGAGACTGCTGGTGGATGGAGTTTATTTCCCAAGAATCTCTGATTACACATTTCTCCGCAACCCACTCATGTTTGATTTCAGACAAACATTCATCTATTGAGAGTGCATACAATAACCTTGATAACAGTTGACAAGATCCCCCTTCTACGCATCTCTACTACATTAGACATATCCCACAAAACTTCATGCAGAAGATCAAAGACAAGGCACTTCAAAAAAAATTTGTGAATGCAGGGTATGTGTTAACAAAACCATCATTCCAACACTACCACGAAGAGATTAGATTGACAAATGTGGACGCGTTAAGGTGGATTGATAATATTCTAGTGGAGAAGTGGACCAGAGCATTTGATAATGGTCAACGATGGGGTCACATGACAACAAATATTATGGAATCAATGAACTTTATCTTCAGAGGCATCAGAAACCTATCGATAAACGCGTTGGTGAGAGCAACCTATTTAAGGTTAGGGTCACTATTCGAGGCCAAAGGTTCAAAATGGAGTTCACTGTTACAATCGAGGCAACTGCTCAGTGAAAGTTGTATGAAATTTATTAAGGAGGAAAATGCTAAAGTTAACACACATGTGGTTACAATGTTTGACCATCATAGAGGTTGGTTTAGTGTATATGAGACAATAGACTATAATGAGGAGGGACAAGGAGATACTATCGGGTAGAACTAGATAGAGGTTAATGCGACTATGGAAAATTTCAAGCCTTCCGTATGTCTTGCACCCATGTGATAGCGACATGTTCATATGCTTTCCAGGCCCCTTCCAACCAACTATTTGTTATTTACAAAGTCATAAACGTATTCAATGTGTACAACAATAGCTTTCCAGTTGTACCAAAGGAGGATTATTGGCATATATATCAAGGGGACATAGTTTAGCATAACGAAAATATGTAAATAAATAAAAGAGGTCTCCCTAACAGCATGCGTATTCGAACCGAAATGGACACGACACATTAAATGGTAAGATTATGTAGTACATGTTGTCAATCCAGACACAATCATAAAAACTTTCCCAATGTTGGAGCAAGCTCCACAACATAATTATTGTATGCAGTTTTGATATGTAATTTATTTTTTATAACCATTAAATTTCATATTGAATACAATGTCCATTTCATATTGAATACAAATTTTGGTTACAATAAAACAAGCGCAAGTAAACATAGAATAAAAAGATAAACAAATACAACGAGTAAACACAAAAACATATCTAGGAAATTACAACCATCAGGATAATATCATCTGATCCATGCATCGTAACACAATAATCATTGTCAGTTTTAACTGACTCCCACACATTATAGACTTCATTATTGTTGAACACCGTAATAAGTGTAACACCCCCTTCTATACCCCCCAAATAAATGCATATACAATTTTATCAGAGTGAAAATTTTAGAATAAGGTATAAAGGAAGAATGTCACAATTTTACCAATGAAACACTTTAACATTTGTTCCATAAAATATGTAACATTTTCATGGTTTTAGAAATCACATTTCAACATTTAAATTTAAGCGGAAGATAAAATCATTTAATCATTTCCAAAATATTAATTCACATACACATAAGATATCCAGATTAATACATCATGTCAGGTAATTACAAAACCACCTCAGCTGATACATCGCAATGTATCACAAAAGAATAACTATACTAGTCTAACTACCCGGTGTTACATAACAGAGCAGCCGACTCAAAAGAATGAAGATAACTTCACAAAAAAGACTCCAGCATCCTAATCTGCAATGCCTCGTAGAGCATTATAAAACAGCAGAAGGGTGAAAAATATAACCATAATAAAACAGCAGAAGGGTGAAAAATATAACCATAATATAACCGTTCTCGCATCTTAATCTCATGCATTTAATAATTCATCTCTTCAAGAATTACACAATGATTGCACATACAACATATATCACAACAATCAAGGTATTCACATCACAATACCAATCATACAATTACAAGTTATGCACACATATTCACAATGTTCTCATGCATACTCATCACATAATTGTATACACATCAAGCAGTCACAAGTTCATTAAATAATACACACATAATCACCTATTATGTTCACATGTATTTATACTTGATGCAATTAACATTCAAATCACAATTCTAGGATTCACGCCCGTAGGCTACCCACAACACATATCATCACAATAGATCACATACATACTCACAATGTAGAGGTATTAGTCTATGTGAAACAACTAAATCATCAACACATAGAAACCACAGCAAAGAAAAGATGCTGTCAAATTCGCCCATATTCGCCTGGCGAGGCCCCGCAGCGAACCTTCGCTGAACCTTCGCCTGGAGAACCCTCTCAGCGAACACTCGCTAGGCCTTCGCCTGGCGAGACTCTCCAGCGAGCCAAAGTCAGTAGCTACTGACTTTGTTCGCCACCATTCGCCAGCACCTTCGCTGGGCGAACCTTCGCTAACCAACCTTCGCCTGGCGAACTCGCCAGCGAAGTCCACTGGGACTTAATCATAATTATTCGCCAGCGTTCGCTAGGCTTCGCCCGGCGAAGCTTCGCCTTCGCTCGCCTGGCGAGAGCCAGCGAACCTGCGCAGAACAGAATTTTGTTCTATCTTCTCCTTCTCAAACCACCACCAACCAACTCCCAAACATCAAAACCAGCTCAAACGACATCACTACATGTTACCCGACTATTCTACGGCATTATTACTCATTCCAACCGATTAAATCGCAGTTCTACCGATTATTCCAACTTTTGCCCTAAATGGAAAAGGATGGAAACTACACCAAAACCCCAACGCAACATATATAACATCATGCAATGATCAAATAGAAACATTTCTCACCCTTACCTCGATTAATCGGAGCTTTGATGTTGGTTCTTGATGATTT